GTTGTAGAAAGGCAGGCTTGGACCCAACTCACAGAAAGTTTCAATCCTATGACAGAGGATTCATTTTTACAGTTTAGAACTTTTATTGTAGGACTTATTTATTTAATGCTTTTATAATGATATTATGTTTATACCCAATCTTTCTTGCTCTTGCAAGGAACCCAAAGTATCTCAGAAGATTCTCATCTTGGAACCAGGTTAAGTTAGGCTGCGAGTCCATGCCTTGACCCAGAGTCACCCAGTGAACTTTGTGGATAAGTAAAGACACGAGCCCAGATCTCCTGACTCTAACCACTATGCCATGTTCGCTCCTGTGCACAAATTTCAGTCCAAGTTCTGGATTCCAGGGGGCAGGGAAAAGCAGATACCCCAAACATCCAAGTGCTGTTTCCCGTTTGACCTGGATCGTCCCCTCTGCTAACCATCTACCACCATAAGGAACAAGAGTGGGAGCGAGGCAGGTGAAGATTAGCATCAAATGACTTCTGTTGCAATAGCTGCTCTAGTTTTGCTCTAAATGTACGGTTTGTATCAACTGCATTTTACTCATGCTGCAAACTTTTCTGTGGATTAGTTGGAAGGTTGGATATAAACCTTTTAAATGTGTAAAGCCCATGAGCAGCATGTTAGACCCATATCACAGGATGAAACTTGGGTTGTTAACTGCTGCATCTGTAGTATGTAACCTGTGGTGCTTACCTCTTCAAACAGCGATGTGGTGAGAAGCATGCATTTTTGTGGAATGAGCTGCACATTTAAGTCCTGCAGAGGCTTTGAGACTAGTTTTATGTTACATCCTATGTTACATAAGATCATTGGGACTCTGGCATAGTCACCCTGTGAAGTCATGCCAAATGGTGGGAATACATGGATGGACCCACCTTGAGTGTTTTCATATGGCACTTGGACCACTCCGTGTCTACTTCATTCAAAAACAAACAGCCCTGCTATCTCACTTAACTCCACTAGAGGGGATCATAGGACTGTTTTATCTAAAACCTGGTAGTTTCCTTTTTATTTCACATACAGGTATTGTGATTTCTTGGAAGAGTGGAACTATAAGCCACCCTGCATGAAATTGGGAAAATGACCAAAGTCTAATTGCTAGAGTTTTCTACTCTGGATGTTTTCTTCATGGTGACAGTCAACAAATCTAAGCTGAACTATTTTAAGCATTTTATTATAACAAGCTGGCTTTCTCCCTTCCAAGCTTTTTTCCTTCCAAGGAACTCAAGGCAGCTTACATTTCTCCTCCTCTTCCTCTCAGTCTTATCCTCACAATAACAAACCTGTGAGGTAGGTTGGGCTGAGAATTTGTGAGGGGCCCAAATTCACCCCATGAGTTCCAAGGCTGAATGGGGGACTAGAATCTCGATCTCCTGAATCCCAGTCCCACACTCTTCACCACTTCACCACACTGGCTCTCAAAAAGATTAGTTGAGTGATGTAGTGGGAGTGGAAAAAGAACAAAGAAACTTGTGATCAATGAATTATAAGTACCACTGCAATCAGACCAGCCTATTTATGGAAGTGAAATTCCTCTTAAGGGGCACAATAACCACCATGCACCTACAGTCCATATTTAAGATGGATAAAGACCACATCAAATGCATCTGTCTTTAAACCCACTTGCTAGTTTAATTAGTATGGCAGTGGGCTAGTTGTTGGTCTCCAGTGTTTCGGTCTATAGCTCCAATCATTTCTAGCTAGCACAGCTAATTGTGAGGGATGATGGGAATTGTAGGCCAAAGCAACTGGAGGGCTGCAAGCTTCCAGGTCCGAGTTTATGCAGTGCAGGTGAGGTTCATTTTTAACACTAAACAGAATTGGGGAAAAGGCAGGAGTGAAACCTTCCCTTCCTCAGACTCTGATTTTAAAGCTATTTCCACCCAGCTCAGCTGCAGTAGGATTTGGGGCAAGCTACTTAAAGATGGGGGACACTGGTGAATTTACTGCTACTCCTGGCATACTTTTCAGCATTTACAAGTGAACCCCCACCCTTGTTTTACACCTGAGCCAATGAATACTTGCATGCTATTCAGTTCCAACGCTAGGGCTACTGATACCCCGGACCAACAGAAAAACAAGTGGCCATTCTTTTTGGAATTTCTGTGCCACAGATTATGTGAGGGAGGCCAACTTTTCCCAGCCTTAATCCTAAACTGAGATTTCACCAAACCCTAACTATCATGGGGAATTCCCATGCCATGGGCAACACTGCCTGAATTTTGCCCTCACCATCTTCAGCATGGCTGCTCAAAATAGTTATCCACTCCTGTGGATTTCCAGTCCCACGGAGATGCAAATTAAGCCTGGTATTCTGAACCCTAACTCTAAACTTAGATTTGGACTCCAATGCTTTCAGCCAATTACAGTGCATTCCTAATGCATCATGGAAACCCAGGCCCTGTGGTGAATAATGCCCAGAGCACAGAGGTCAGCTTGCCTCTGACTCAGTGGGGCTCAGCTTCTGTCATGAACCAGGCTGGCTGGGGCTCATGAGTGTCGTCTAGATTTCCCAGAACACAGCCCTTCTCCAGTCATCTGGCACTTCCCCTGTCCTCCATAGTACCCTGCCTGTAGGTTGACAATTTTTTAAAAAATGAGGCAAGTGGAGGCTTAAGGAGGTGAAAGAAGCAAAAAGACTTCAATAGTGTACGTAATAATAGGGCTGAGTGTAGGTTACAGCGAGATAGAAGGTTCCCACAGTTTTCCCCAGATGAACCAAAGTCCATCCCAGGCCTCAGTTAATACTGAACTTGTCTGAAATGAAACCATACCGCTTCCTTCCACCTGCACACACCTACTTGGAACACTGATAAAAACTAGCCTAGGAGTTGAGGAAGGATCAAGGAGGACATGAAGTGTGAAATTCCAGAGAGACCCTCTGGAATGATGCCAGGGTTACCCTGATAGCATCGACACAGAGCTGTTCCAGACTGAAGTGGGTGGCTCTGGCCATCGCTGCTGCCATCTCACTTTTAAATTGTTTGGGAGCAAAAAAAAAAAAAACACTAGATGGGGAGCTACCCCATCAGCTTCTGTTGCCCTTGTTCTCTTGGCTGCCCCAAAATGGTTCCGTGGCCTTGAAACTGCAATGCCTCTATTGCATTTGTGGAAGACTCACCCCAAGTTTCAGAGAGGGAGCTGGGAGTCCATCTGGTCCCGTTCAGTTACTGGAACTGAGCAGCCACTTAAGTGCTCTGATCAGAAGGGAGTGGTGGCCCTGAGAAGATATTCCAAAGTGATACTTGAAGGGTGTGTCCTTTTGTCTCTGTTACTGAAGAGGAAGAGTTCTCAGAAAACAATAACATCAAAAGTGAACTGTCTAGGGCCAGTCTGATGACTTCTAGGAAAGCATATCTTTCTGAGTCAGGAGGAAGGATGAATATGGGTTTGCATTGTTCATACGCAAGATCCCAGTTTCACTTCCATAAGAGGACTGTTGAAGAAAGCATCTGTTCAAGGGATTAGAAAGTTAGGGCAAGATTACAGATGAAACCTGGCACAAGGTGGTTACGGGGGGTTGTGACGAAGCCCTCCTTCTGGCAGGTCGGTTGACACCCTGCAGTGCAACCCGAACAGTTTGTCTCCCCTCATCTTACTCTGTTGTCAACCTAAATGCAACCAAAGCCTCTGCTGTTTTTAATACACTAACAGGTTCCAACCAGCTCAGGCTTTTGAGACGTAACTTTAAAGGCTGGTCTGGCCACAAGGCAAATTTTTGATTTGCTGGCTAGATTGCAGACATCAGAAATGGAGGCTATTACATGACTGGACACAACCACCACCATCCTCTCACTGAACTGAGATCCCAGAAAAATAAAGATCAAGGGCGCAGTTTGATGTGACTGTCCACAACTCTCCAATCTCAGAAGGTTCAGGGCATTGACTCAAACATGGGAGGAATGCAGAGGCATGGATTGTTCCTCACTCTCCTCATGACTCCCAGGATGTCCCCAGCATCTGCCCCACAAATGATCATCTGCTATCTGGCATGGGAGCGACGGCACTGGCTACAAGTGCAGGGCCTCCGCAGGGCCTCCACTGCAGCCTTGGAAGGCTTTTCTGAGGGTGAAGCGAGGACTCGAGTCTGCCTTTTCTGTGGCTGGCCACACAGTGTTTTCCAGCTACAGGACTGTGCTGTAAGTTATTCATTCTAGAGTTTTCCATAGGCCACCTAACTGGATGCCCACATGCTCCCTCTCTCAGGCCATCCTCTCCGCAATGAGCTCCGCATATGTTCTGGAAAGCAGGACTCGACTCTGGTAGGTAATACACTACTAGGTTAGTTAGACTGACTTTATTGGTTTGTAATTCTGTATATGTGTGTGATTGCTTCCATTCTATTGGTTATTCTGCTTTCTGGTTTGTTTGTTTACACACACACACACACACACACACACACACATATATATAGCGATTTATATCCTGCCTTTTTCCTACAAAGGGCTCAAGGCAGCTTACATCCTCCTCCTCCTCCATCTTATCCCCACAACAACAACCCTGTGAGGTAGGTTGGGCTGAGAGTCTGTGACTGGCCCAAAGTCACCCAGTTGGCTCCATGGCTGAGCGGGGACTAGAACCCCGATCGTCTGAGCCCCAGTCCCACGCTCTTAACCACTACACCGCACTGGCTCTCAAACTGCTTTTTATATTGGAAGTTTGGCTGTGCTCTTTTAAAAGGGATTTCTCACTACATTTTTTTCCACACAAAAGACCATATTACCACAAAACTGCCACTTGTGCGTTCTGGGATTTTGACAGTTCTGAACTTCTGCCTTTGGGAAGAAAAGTTTGACATACTGTTACTTTCATTTTCCCCCAGGGCTTGATTGCATGGAGAGGCCTTTGGCAACGGGGCTGCAAAACTAGCCTTAAGTCACCCACTGAGCTCAATGGCTGAGCGGGGACTAGTACCGGGATCCTTAACCGCTAGACCACAATGGCTGTACACCACAGTGTTGCATCAACATCAAAGAGAGTCCTTACAGAGGTTGTATGAGCTGGGACAATTGTGTTTATCCAGAGAGAACATAACCGATCTCATACCCCCAAGGAAATAGCTGGCTACTTCTTATCTTCCCATAAAACACAGAGAGACTTTGGACATGGGTCAGGGAGGGATGAGATGATGCAGACTACATGTTTCTATTGTCTCCACTTTGCCAGTCCCATGGGATGTCTCCTCAGATGCTCGAACCGGTACCAGAAGCGAACACAGCCCAGAAACCTGGTGGTCTGCGGCCGGGTTGCACCGGCGAAGGAGCAGTGCTGTGGTCCAGCTCTTGGAAGGGTGCAGCAGGTTCTTTTGGCTGTGAAGGTGCTCTCTGAAGCCATCCTGCCTTGTAAGGCTTTGGGTCCAGGCTGTAGGTCCCAGCATGAAGCTGCATGTTCATGGGAGTGCAGGATAAGCTCCGGCTTACAGGCTGTTCTCTCGGGCCACGGACGCATAGGTGCAAGTGTCAAGGTCATGGACAGTGCCAGCTTCCTGTTCTGATTTCACCGAGTGGTGGTTCAACACCGCGTAGCAGATCATGGGGTCTTCTCCCGTATCCAGGTTTAGAGACTACGGAGAGGGAAAAGAAAGCGATTTGGGGTGCGGTCCTGCCATGTCCTCTTCAAAAGTTAGAATGGAAACAGATGTTGCCATTCTAGAACATGGGCAGGCAACCTCTTTGGATTCATGAGGACAGCTGATTCTCTGAGAAACTCTCTTAGGCACCAGCACAAAATGGCTGCCCTGGGAGGTGTGGCTAATCACAATGAAGAGGTAACCTAGCCAAAAGGCTCCAGCGAATGGGATGACATATAAGTGTGCTAGACAGACAGACAGACAGACAGACAGACAAGATATGGGGCAGAAGCAGGCAGAAGCCTGAGCCCCAATGTAATAAACAGCTCCTTCAACCCATTTTTCAGCACCAACAGAACCCTATTGCACAGCTGTTGGTAAGACAATGTGTGATTTTTTTTCCCTTAAAGTGACAGTGGGAGGGCACCCTGGCAGGCTCCTGCTCTAAAGGGATTTGGAGTAGCAGCTTCAGAGCAGGACAGAGGGCAGCTGGAGGACGATACTTGACTCTGTTCACCACATCCTCGCCTGAAAGCAGCCCCCTGCTGAAAAAGAAAAAGGTGCCAAGCAGAATCCATACATTTGCACAGGGGTCCTCAAACTTTTTCAACAGGGGGCCAGTTGAAAGGTGCAGGCGATGGGTGCGGGCTGCCAAGGCTGGGGGCGTGGGCCGGGCGGAGATAATTTTCTCTGAGCGAGTCCAAAACGGTCTCCACACGAGCAAGTCACCCTCACCACGCGCGCGGTGAGTCCCAAGCCTCTATGACGGGCCAGAAAAATGGACATGGCGAGCCGGATCCGGCCTGCAGGCCGTAGTTTGAGGACCCATTCATTAGCATAACGATGCTATCCTAAAGGGCTTGCAGTTCGAATGCAGTCTTCACTGGAACTGCTTTCCACTCTTCACTGTAGCTCTCGGCCTCAAGGGGTATTTGCTGTAGAGATCAGAACTACATCCCAGCTTCCCTGTGCCTGAAGGGGCTGATGCTGCCTAATCTTGGAAGCTAAGCAGGGCTGGGCCTGGTGGGGATCTGGATGGGGAACTTAAATGTTATGAAGTGCCCAGAGAGCTTCAGCTATGGGCAATATCCATCCTTCTCCTCCCCTCAGTCAGCACCCCCTGACATGTGGATTTTGGTTTTCAATTTAAACCAGAAATTAAGAAATTGCGGTCCAGTCAATTCTGGGCTTTTCCTCTGTGGGCTTCTCTACATGAGACATTGTGTTCTTGTGACCCCTCGTTCACTAAAGTTTGTGGGTCCTTCACCCAACACCATCTTGGCTTTTCTTAGAGTGAGGAAAATGTGGTATTTTCCTGGATGCCAGCAGTATCTTGCTATGGAAGCCTAGCTTGTTCTCACAGTTCTGCTCTATACCTCAGCACCACCTCATGATTTGTAATGGGCCATAAAGGAACACGGAGAAAGGGAGATAGGAACTATCCCAGGACAAAGCTCCTTGTGTAAAAAGACTTGCTTCCCTCTGTGCAGAAAACAAAAGGAAGTGCTGGGGGAAATGGCCCATGGAGAGAAGCCCTGTATTTTTTTTCCTGGGCTGGACAGTCAGGATAGAGGGTTGGTATAAAGTTCACAGTTAAAGGGGGTTTCTCACAGTGGAACTCCTTGCGTTCTTCACCGGTTCGGGTTGTTTGCTGCCAGCGGGACCTGCAGGGAGGAGACAAGCTGTGAGAGTCATCACCCAGTCCGTTTCCAAGTAGGCTGGGCGGGGTTGTGCCCTCCCCACGTTGTGCCCTCCCCACGTTGTGCAGAGGGAGCTCTTGCCACACGGCTGTGCGGCTGCAAGACTCAGCAATAGCAGGAGCCTGCAGCGAGGGCTCAGTCCAAGTTCTCTGCAGGGTTTCCGGAAATTGCTTAAAGCGAATTACGTGTTCATGATTGCAATTTTATACTTCTGCTTCTGTTAGGGAAGGAAAAGGCGAGGCGCATGCAAGGCACTGACACCGCCTCCCTCCCTCTAACTATGAAACGACACAAAATACATAATACCCTGATATCTTTAGAAGAAGATCTAATCAAAAGGTTATCAGTGGTATTTGACTATGCCTAGACTGAAAATTATTGACGCACTAGAAATGGATGCCCACTAGGTTTGTGACAAAGCTCTGCAGGATCCGTCCCATGTGCTTGGCCCTGTCTTAGAAAGTGAGCCAAGCTGAGCGGGAGTTTGCGGGGACTCATGGAACGAAGTCTGCACAACCAGCAACCTTCTCCTGTGTCACGTGCCACTTCGTGTGCAACACAAACAAAGGTTGCTGCACATGGTGTGGAAGAGGGATGCTGCTTGTGCAGTGGCCTGGTGGGAATCGATGGTGTGCACAATGTGGACTAGGAACTTGGACTCACAGGCATGACACTGCAGATCAGGCCCAGGAGATTGGATAGGTTCCCAGCCCTGAAATAGACATTCCTATTGGAGGTGTAGTAAACCCCGTGTTGACTGATGGCATTTATTTACAATACTGGGTGCAAATTGATATATTGCAGTTGACATCCTTTTGCCCCAGCACATGGGGGATGAGTCATCAATTATTCCTATTATTTATGACATATATTGAATATTTCCTTGGTCCACCCCATGGATTTCTTTTGTCCACACGCATTGCTTACCCCCACCAGCTTTTCAGATTTCATCACAAAACTTCAAAGCTACCTTTTCAGCCACGTGCCCATTTCTTTTCGACAAAGGGAAGCAAAAGCAGTCTTCTGCCATGGGGGTTCCAGTGCACCTCCCCAGGTGAAACAGGGACTGGGGCGGCCCCCACGCGAGCACGGCCCCCTCAATCACGTGTGCTTCATGTGGGGCCTTACAAGGCGCCCCGTGGGGAAGTGCCTTACCCTTTCTCCTCCTCCTGCACCACAGAAAGGCCAGAAACAGCACGACAAGGACAAGGGCCAAAACCAGAAGCCCTGCACCAATCCCTGTCCACAGGACCTGCGAGGAATTGTCTGGAAAACCACAGATATTGAGTTAGATCCCTGCTCATGCTGATCTAGCCACCCATGGTCAACAGCTGGGCTCAGAGGACAAGATGACCGACACTCAAGGACGGAGTTTGGGTTGCCATCTGTGCCTCGGCTGTTGCTGAAAGGTGGGCCATTGTGTTTTCTGAACCCAGCTGAGATGACTAACCATGGTACACAAGCTTCAGGTCACAGCCCAAAGTCGGCCTCCTTCCCTCCCAGGCGAGCTTTATCCCTTTCCGAGAACCCGCCAGCCAGACAGCCACTGCCCCGACCCCTGACACTCCATTCCACCTCCTCTCCATGTCAGCCCAATATTCCACCAGGTTTGCATGCCCCCTATGCACTCACACTGGGCTATTTCCTCCCCTCCCATGGCGCCCCCTCCCCCAATTCTTTCATTCTTCTGCAAACTCTGGAGTCCTCCCAAGCCTGCTAACACCGTCCCCCTGTGTGTGGACCCTCCCCAGTGCCATGACGAGCAGCCAAGTCATCCCCAACCCACAGTGACGCTATGGGTGACCTCCATCGTGGACCTGAGCTGTCTCAGGGCTGCTCTTCCCCTTCTTCTCCTGCCTTTGTATCAGTTCTTAATACACAGAAAACTCACACATGCGGCTGCTCCTAAAATATATACACAGGCACTGTATATTTTCGTGGCACAGAACTGTGGTTTCTCTTTTCCCACCTGTCTTTCAATAAAGACTATGCATGTCTCAGGAAGATCTATTGCCAGGGGAAAGAATCCTATACAGAAACACCAAAGGGCATTATGCAAGTCTCCTTGGCAAGAGGAGCTCAAGAGAGACGTGGGCTTCCAGGCACCCACGTTTCTAACTGATCACAGGTGAAGCGGGACTAACTCCTAGTCTGGTCTTAAGTGCAATCTAAGCATCGGGCTCCTCCCTGCCTTGCAATGGGGTTCTGTCTCCCTGGGCCGTGTGTGACTTGGACAGCTGCAACCCCAAGGGCAGGTGCCCCTAGTGGAGAGGAGGACTTCGGAGGGGACTGAGGCCGTGCTGGGCACACCCCTCACCTGTCACTGTCAGCTCCACGGCGTCGCTTGGCTCGGACTGCGCAAAGGGAACAATTCTTTGATACCGGCAGCTGTAGCTCCCTGCATCTTCCAGCCGCACGCTGGACAAAAGGAACTGAGTTGTGTTTTTCATTGGCTCTTCCTTTTGTGATGCTATCAGATTCCCTGATTTGAACAAGAAGAAGGTCAAATGGAAGTAATATTCCGGCCCCTGGCACTCGATGGTGGCATTCAGTCCCAGCGATATCTGCGGCTTTGGTCTTATCCTGATGGAAGGTCTGGAGAGTGTGGGGTCTAGTGGAAAGAGAGAGCATCGGGGAGAGAGAGGGGTTGTTACTCGTGTTGCTCAAGTGAGGTGGAAGGGGCCAGAGGGCCGTGGGGCCCAACGCCCTAATCTCTCTGCAGGACTCCAAGCTAAACGGTCCCTCTCAGATGGCTGTCCAGTTGCATCCTGGACGCCTCTCATGTGGGAGAGCCCACGAGCTCCCGGGCTAATGGGTTCCACCTTCATGCGGTTCTAACTGTCAGGGATTGTTTTACTGATGGCTAGCCAGATCCTGGCTCCCTGTAACTTGAG